AATATCTGAGTTTTGTGACATTAAGTTCCGTTTGTAAATTGCAGAAATGAGTATTTAGAAGAAGGATCTGTTGATAAGCATCTTCGTTTTAGATCTGTTTACATGCTAAATGTCTGTTATCACAAAGATTGATAATATGTGTACTGTGTTTTTAAACTTTATACATGACTTAGTTGTAAGTATGTGTAGATTTCAATCACGGGTATAATTAATCTATTCATTTGGCTAAAATTTTCTCGCATGCCACTGTACAAAACAATCAAAAATTTTTGTTTTTATTGGTACATGTTATTACTAGTATTATTTATTCACTTATATTTAAGCTAATGCTAATAGCAGTTCTGGCTTAAAAGGGTTCTCATTTAATATTAAAAAAAGAAAAAAACAGGTACAATCAAAATTAAATATTGCATGTTAATTATGAAAAGATATTAGTATTATATCTAAATTAATAAGCAAAATACTGAAACAAAATGCTATAAGAAATAATGGCTGAATCTCGGTAGAAATGCAAATTTGATAAGCAACAAACAGCAAAAATGTAAACGAGTATAAAGCCAGAAATAGCTGTATATTAAATTAATATATAAATTTATAGAGCTATATTTAATATAAATTCTTAGCCACTTATTTTTTTGTTCTTGAAGATGATAAGCATTAATACTATTTATTTTTACTTCCAATATTCAAATATGTTTTTAATAACTGACAAAAAGTTAATGTTTAAGTCAATGGTGTGGAGTAGAAGATGTTAATAAAAAAAATCTGAACCGGGAAGAGATTAACAGAATAACGTAAAGGGAAGCTAAATTTTAATTCTTTAATTTAGAAACAGGAAACAAATTTTACATGCCTATGTCCCTAGACACTGTCTTAATATTCCTCTCCCACTGAAATGCAGCATATATACAGTACTGCTTTTTTTTTTTTTTTATAAATAAAATAATATATCTTTAATATACTTATTAAATTTGCAAGTAGATTCAAAGTGTTTGTTTATTTCATTTATTATTTATGCATCTATTTTCAACTTATTAAATATTTTAATTGCATGGGACTTAAGTTATTATTCTATTGAAACTTAAGAATCAGAATGTTTTCTTCATCAGTTAGCAGATATAGGCTATGTTCTCACACGGCTGCTAACGGTTAGCATGATCGGGATCCTGCTAACCGTTAGCTGCTGTGCATCCATACTAGAAAATCCCAATCCGGATACCAAAAATATGATGAATCGCTGGCCAATAAGAAACTGGAAATTGTAAACGCGTATGTGTTGATGATAAAAACGCGCTCAACTTGCTAACCAATAGCGCTTGCTAACCGTTAGCGGTATCCTGATACTGCTAATGGTTAGAGCTAACCGATCGGGCGTTTTCACGCAGGTGCTAAAGGTTAGTGCTAACGGTTAGCTCCCGATCCGAATACTAGGGCTCTCGTGAGAACCAGGCTATAAATAATAGATTATTTATAGTTTTTTTTTTACTAGAACTTATAAATTTGCTAGTAATCAATTCAATGATTTTGTAAAAATAATACAGTTTAAGTTATAAGATGAGGGTGAGTATTACAATGTTAGGATTATAATGTAGACTACATAGAGGCAATTTATTGCAATATGTGCTATACAAAGGGTGCATTATTATTATTATTATTATTATTATTATTATTGTTATTATTATTATTATTATTATTATTATTATTATTATTATTATTATTATTATTATTATTATTTCCATTATGTGTCATTAATCAGTAGATTACTTCTTTGGTACTTTTTAATTACATTTTGAAGTTTTTCCTGCAACAGCACATTTTCATGTATCATCATGTATTTTACAACATCTGGTAAATTTGCATTATTCAGTAGTGACATCATTGTTGAATACCAGACAACCCAGCTGGAAAAATTATGAAATTTAGCGATAGAGTAAAAAAATAAACTTTCTAATATTTAGTATGTTTGAGCTGTATTTCCTGTTAACTGTAGATGACATTTCCATACACGTTTACTGATTTATATTTCTCTGTCTTTCATTGGCACTGTACTGGACATTAAACATTTTTCAAACATTGTCAACTAGAATTGCTGAGCATTATGAGTAAGTGGGGATTTTTTAATATGCAAGGAAATTGCAAGAAACATGGATGATATATTTTGGAGATTTTCCAAGCTGCTTATCTTTGGTAGGTACCTGGTTTCAATGCTGCTTTAACATTATTGCTTGTGTGTATAGGTTTGTGATTAACTCACATTTAAGTACTGCACTTCTAAGATAGATTGCTCCTTTGCTATCTTAGATAATCACTGCTACAATTGGATTTGTAATGAAGATTGACCCTAAGCATAATTGTTGTCCAAAATTGTGACCTCAAAAACCTAAGGTTAATGAAACATGAAACTACATTGACTATTGTCATTTGAATAAGAGTTTTAATAGCAAAGCTCTTCTAACCCTTTTGGTCTCAGTTAGGGCCCGTTTATACAACACACCAATATCCGCATTCTCAGCCCGCCAAAGTTATGTGTGTAGTATAAACGCCGTCGGATTGCGTGTAATTACATTACCATCTGGCAAAGAGGCTACTTGACGAACCGGCCAAATTTGGCCGGTTCGCGACCTTGCGAAGCCTACTTGGCACCCTCAGGCTATTGTTTGACCTCTCGTAATAATGCTTTTTATTTGTCTTTCCTTATGTTTCTTGTTGTATTTTGATGGTAAGCTCACAGGTTTGCCCTCTGGAATTGATGTACCTCAATAAATAAATAGCTCTACTCCGAAAATCTCATTATTAGCACCCATGATCAGCTTTTAGGCCTACTGTACCTATGAAATGTAATTAAGATCGATAGAAATACACTATGAAATATACACTTCTTTAATCGTATAGATCTTCTCTAATTCATCCTCATTTTTTATTCAAATGATTCCCATCATCCATCATTTATAGCATTAGATTTATGGTTATGATGACTTAATTCTATTGTTTACTTGTTAATGTTGGTTTTTCTTATTTTTAATGCTTTTTATTTGTCTTTCCTTATGTTTCTTGTTGTATTTTGATGGTAAGCTCACAGGTTTGCCCTCTGGAATTGATGTACCGCAATAAATAAATAGCTCCACTCCGAAAATCTCAATATTAGTTCCCATGATCAGCTTTTAGGCCTACTGTACCTATGAAATGTAATTAAGATCGATAGAAATACACTATGAAATATACACTTCTTTAATAGTATAGATCTTCTCTAATTCATCCTCATTTTTTATTCAAATGATTCCCATCATCCATCATTTATAGCATTTATGATTCAGAGGAGACGCTAAATGCAGGTAAAATAAAACTATTTGAATAATGGTGATGTGTGTTGCAATCATTTTAGTGCAAAATACATTTTTACTGTTTATACCCGTAATATATTTTATGCCAAGAAGAGTTATTATACGAAGCATTTTATAGCTTTAAGATATATTCTGTGAATTACAGTCTGTCAGGTCAGACAGTCAGAAGATGTACGAAGTGTACGCCAATTGTTCCATTCTTGATTAATGTTTATCATTTAACTATATAGCTGGCTTTTTGAGAGATGAATTGTGGGATAGGTTGATTATGGTGAAGGGTAGATTTTGCAAAATTTTGATTGTAGGGAAAGAGCTAGTAGGTTATAAATAAGCACATTATAGGGAAAGAGGAAGAGGTAGACTATATTGTGAAAGTAGGATAGTTTAAAGGTGTAGAAAAAGCAATTAATTTTAGTGGCAAGTTCATTGCAAAAAAGTAAGATTGGTAAAAATGTAGATTGTGGGATATAATAGTTTGGTATTGTGTAAAAAAGTAGATTGTGAGATAACAGATCAGTGTTCTCCCAATTGAAACATTTTTACTGGTAAATTTGTCCTTAAAATTCAGCTATGCACACAGTGTGAGGTGTTATCCTTTTTGAGATGATTTTAATGACTTGAAAAAACAACAGAACATAGTCATAGCCTAGGTATAGACTGGAATTATGTTCATTTATTGAAAGAAAGCCAGTCTAGTATAGACTGGAATTATGTTCATTTATTGAAAGAAAGCCAGTCTGGACTACCTAGACCTAATCAGTGGTTTTATTTTTTTACTGTACAATCTCAAAATTTTTACTGGTTGGCCAGTTATTTTTACTGGTAAAATTGACGGCTTCGGGAGAACATTGCAGATAATGGTGTAATATAGGTTGAGAATGGAGAAATTTGATATACAGTAGTATAATAGGATAAGAACATTGCTGGATATGTAGCATAGAAGTAGGCGGTTATAGAAGCTTATGGGATGTGTTCTGGAAAGGGTAGTCGTGGGATATGGATAGTAAAGATTATATGAACATAGATTTGTAACATGCCAGCCTTGCTCACTGGCGGATGAATCATTCAGTAAGTTTTTTCTGACTTCATTGATGATTTCCTGCCATGTCAGCCTTGAAGCGAAACGTAATACTGAAATTATGTGTATGTTTGAATTTAAGAAAGTAAAACATGTCTAATATGAATAACGTTAAATATTGTGCTTTCAAAATAAAATCAAATTTTTTTTTCTTTAAGTGCTACAGAACCTTCTTGAGTGATTAAACATATTCGAACAATACTGTATAGTAAGCAGAAGATATTGAAATAGGAAGAATATATAATTGTGGTTCTGGTTTGGGGGGAAAGGTTAAGTCAATTGCAGTTCAGGACCTAGTAGAATGGGGTTTATTTGGACCAAGTGGAGAAGGACATTGAATCACATTGTAGTTACAAATTTGTTAAGTCGGTGTTGGGATGAGCATTGCTTTGTGGAGAGTGATACAATCTATATAGTATTTTATATTTCTGATTGTCTTGTTTTCTGTGTGTTTTTACTCCCTTGTATTGTATATGTTTGTCTCTTGTCTTAAAAGTTTAGTTATATTTTTGTGTTTATATTTAAATATGAATGAATTTTATTGAATAAAAGTGATTTGGAATTTTTTTAAAAATCCCTAGAAGTGTGTGGCGCAGTTTGTAATGTGTTGGGCTTTCATTCGTGAGGTTGGGGATTCGAGATTGATGCTCGCCTCACTGCTTGTGTTTCTGGGCAAGATACCTGCTTTGCCTCTCTTCACGCAAGAGTATAAATGGTACCTGGTAGGAGGTGAATGATTCGGAATGAAATTAATAGTGCTGATTACACGCGGCGTAACTATGAATCCTCCCCAGGGAGCAGAGGAGGTTGCATGTTATTTATGATTGATTCTGTATCCAATAACCAGGGGAAAAAACGCCTTGAGAAAATGTTCTGGATGTTATATAAATCTGCTATGGAAATCCTATAAAAATATTTTTAAAAATGAGTAAAGATGGTTGAGGCTGGTAGCCTAGCAGATGTGTTGAACTTTCAATTTCATTATTTCAATTACAAATCAGCTTTACTATAGCCAAAGGAAAATACACTTGAAATTGGTTTCTTTTGTCCATGTCTGCCAGCATCCTTTGATTTTGCTAATGGCATAAACATTGAAGAGGGTAAAGAACCTGCTTCAGTCTGTTCATGAGTTAAAAGAAGTAAAAGCCACAGTTAATGACTCACGCTGGGCTTTATACCATTTCCTAAGTCCCTTGGGAAGGAAATTTTAAATCACAAGTTGCTCAAGAAAAATCTGTTTTCCTAATTTGTGAGGATTTTCTAATAATATGGTATAGGATGTAAACAGCACCGAAATACATAAGAATGACTGAGGATGTCGCAATTTTCTAAAAACTGCCTCAAGAGGTTTGGACTGTTGACTTGTGGTTATGAACTGGTTGACTTTTGAACAGACCTTGTTTACATGTTGGTGTGTTTTCTATAACATGTTTGTATCATTACTGTACCCTGTCTGTTCTTTGTCTTGCCTAATGAGTCGCACTCCCAAATACAGTACTCTACCTTTGGTTTCTATGATTTTATGTTTTTCTTGTGATGCTAGAAAAGATAAAAATTTTCAAGAACATGAATACATACATAGTTATGGGCAAATTTAGCTAAAAAGGATACTACCGTAGTTATTCTTATGTTATGGTTAGCAAATTATTCATAACATTCAATATTCAAGATTGTCTAGTATGTTTTATAGAACATTGTGGTTTATACATAATATCTTATACTTTCATAATTTTCAAATTATGTCATTAATTAAGAAAATTTGCACAGTTAATTTTTTGGTTTTATTCATTACCAACAGCGATAATAACAGCCACTGACAGGTTGACATTTTAGAAATGTATGATGATATATAAGTAAAAAATAATTGAAATAAAGAACATCGGACTTTAATGTCAATACTTAATGTACTTTTCAGAGTCCACAATCATACCCTTATAATTTTTATAATAGAGAATAATTATTGTATATTAAAACAATTGAATTTATTAACTTTGTACTGGTACTCAGTTGAGCTTTTTCAAGAATGGCCATGTCTTTATAGTTACAAATTACATTTACTTGATGCTCTTCCAACATCGCCTTGCCTCAATAATCTTAATACAATAAGACACGTAAAATTCCAGCCATTCGTATGATGCATGCTGCTTTCAGAGACAATGTTACTGGCATTCCTACTTTCAGTTTCAAGTAAATAAGGAACAATAGACCTACTATTATTTTCTTTATATCACAGGAGCTTGTTCCTTCTTTGTGTGACACCATCGATTTTTTAATTTACTTATTGTATTTTGTTCACCATTATATTTTGACATTTATTTTCTTCTATTTTTCCTCTCCAGAATTTATGCTGAGATATTGCACAGTATGTAGTATGAGGATCAGCAACTGAAAGGTGACACAGAAAAAAAATATAAAGACTTAACTGTGCTGAGAAAGTGCAAGCAGAAGTTGCTAAGGAGCAGGTGCACCACAAGAGGGCGCTCTTCCCAATTTTTGCAACTGTGCAACAACAGCATTCCAAACAAGGAATTTATATATCACTACCATTATGATGCTTTCAGGATTGCTTGAGAGGCCCATTTTGGGCAAACTAACTCTGTTCTGCACGTTGGCAGTATGCTTCTTAATGCAAAAAACACTTGCAGCAAATATGTTTATGTCAACGAACTCTTTAGACAATGCTACGCCTGTTTCTATGTTGTGGGGTGTCCCTGACACGTCGGCTGTTGTGGGCCGAATCTTCAAATTTGCCATTCCAACTTATGCATTTAGAGGAGACGTATTAAGATACGAGGTAAAAACATTACACTATTTCATATTATATATTCTAACACATCTATAAGAGATCCAATCAATTTTGCTCCACCCTGTTGAATGGAACAGTTAATCTTTCAACTCATGGAAATATTCTTCCCATTGTTCTCATAAACATTCATTATTTGTATAATAATATAAATGCTAACATTTTTTAGGTGGTGTGAACATTTTTATGAATGTGTTGCTATGATCAGCATGGTTTATTGGTTAAGGTGCCTTCTTTCCAATCAGAAGGTCCTGTGTTCAGTCAGCAACATGATTTTTATACCATGAACCAACACTTTTCAGGGGTCCCAAATCTCCCAGTAAGATGTGCAAGTCTCCCAGAATTTAGCAGTTCTGCACTCAAGCACACAAGCAAAGTTCTGCTGGAAACTATCAGATTCAAAACATGTATGTGTTATTACTACTAAAATAATTAACAATGAGTATTTTTTTAGAGACTATAATATTTATTTGTGTATTTGTTACCTATCGGTATTGTATTAGTTACCTATTGGTATCTTATTTCAATGAATGACTCCACGATAATTTTTTTTCTTTTTTTTTTTATTACATTTCCTGTTGTTTCAAGTGAGTTTTTCTGTACACATCATTCCTACATGCTATCTTCTTATAAACTTTCCAATTTTACTTTACTCAGTAGGCACGTTACTACTCAGCAATTTAATGATTCACTCTTTAACATTGGATGGCATTGCAATTGAATGAGTGGCTGTTACTGTCTGTAATTTGTGATAGATGTTGGTTTGTTCTGTAACCTTTGCCCTGTGTGTATTTCATCACTTGTGTTTTTGCTAGTAAACTGTAGAACGTGTGGTGATGTGTACTCACTGTCATAAACCAAGATAGAGAGATGAGGCAGTCCCATTGACGTCACCGAGTAAAGTGTGCTAGGAATGACAAAATAATTTTGATGGTCGATTTCAGCGCCATTAAAAATATCTGCCAAAAATATTACGAGCATGTGATGTCTATGAATCAGTAGAGTGATGAATACCTCCGTAGTTGATTGTAAACCTGACAAATCTCACTCAGGCTTCTAAACTCATATAAAACCTACCAAGTCTTGCTTATACCTACCAAGTCTTACCCCGAGCTACGATGTCTTGCTCAGGCTTACAAAGTCACATGAAGCCTACTGAGTCCCATGTAGACTTACTAAATCTTGTGCCGTCTAATACTACTGTAGGTCTCTCGCAAACCTTCCATCCAAGTCTCGCGCGATGGCAAATAAAGCGTACAGCTATACATGCAGACCTTTTCCAAGTTTTGCTCAGACAAAGCAAGTCTTTCTCAGACCTACCAAGTCTTGTACATCCCTACCAAGTCTTGCCCTGACTTGCTAACTCTTAAGTAGAAACCTACTAAGTCTCACACAAACCTACCAAGTCTCGCTTATGCAGATCTACCATCCTGTGCAGATCTAAAAAGACTTATAGAGACCATCCCAGTCTGATATTTGGAGTGAATTATATATTGAAGCTTATGCTTAAACTCTCGTTCTTGTGCCACTAAAATATGTTTTCGATCATAGCAATTTTCATGGTATTCAAAGTAACTATTAAGCATGTTCGCTAGCCAATTGATTTCTAATAAACTGGCCAAAATTTTGATATATTCTGTACACTACAATATGGATCTTTAATAATTTTCAAGAAGACATGATTTTTCGTTTGATTGTAATTTTTAAGGTGATGCATTTTTGCTTTTTCTGCTGAAACCAATTAAAAAATTTCAATGTAGCAATTTTAAAATATTTCTACTGATTTTTTGTCTGCTTATTTTTCATTTTGATATCAAACCTTTTGGCAAATTATCACATGCTGATATTCAGTTCAAATTTGAATGATGATATTTTAACACATTGGCCTTGCGCTATATTTACTTTTCTAATTTCACCATGTAAACCTTCAAAATATTTGAAATGATAAGTGTCAAGTTTTCAGAATGATTAATGACAATTCTTGTGTCTCATTCTTCTAGTATATCTTCTATAATGTCATTAGTGCTGGGTTGTTTCCCTTATCCTACTATTTTTCATTTATAAATATATATTGAAATTTTCATTTCAAACCTTTTAAATAGCATCACAGAACACTGTAATATTTTAATTTGCATGTATGGTATTTAATGTATGTTTGTTGTGTTGCATTTGTACCCTCCTATTGTTTACAACCCAAGTTTGGACTCTATTTTGCACTGTTTTGTAGAGGGGGAGGGGGTGATGGGAAGGAGGATCTTTTTTTAACATTTTTAGATTTTTAAAAATTTATTTTATTATATAATTTACTGAATGGGAATGGGATTTTTTTTCTCCAAAACTGTCATTCTGTCACAAACATAGTTGTTCATTTTATTACCAAAATGTTTTATTATTTTCAATGATCTTGACACATAAATCTAAAAATCTGAACGTTTGAGTAAAAAAAACTTATGATTTATGTAATTGCAAGTTCAAACATTCATCAATTTACATTCCCATTCAATTATTCAATTTAAAAAATCCTAATGACATTGGGTCCTTCCACACAGATTTCAATTTACTCTTGTTGATTAATTCCCATCATCTAAAGTTAATTTATTATTTTGAGTGTTATGATCAGAAATCCAATCAAAATATCGAGTAAGAACTTGAGTTGTTTTATCAACTTTAAATTATTCCCAATTTCTTAACAGTTAATTGATGTATTATCCCCTCCCCTGGGGAAAGCATGAGGCCGCCCTTGGGGCTTCGTTAGAGATAAGGAATGAAAGTTACAATGTAAACAGCAATTAGATGGATAAATATATTCATTTAAAGTCAGGCTCCGGATGAAAACATTTTTTTGATATGTTGCACAACTGATTTTTCAAATACTCTAAAAGCATATTTGCAACAAAACTTGGGGACAGTTCAAATATTCCAAAATCTTATCTCATTTTAAAACTGTTTCAGAGTTTTCAGACAAATATACTTTTTTTGTGTCTTGGAAATATCAGTTGTACAACATATTAAAAATGTTTTTCCCTCCACAACCTGGCATTAATTTTGAGGAAGAATTAATATACAATAAAGAAAAATTAATATTTTCATAAATTTAAATTCATTTTACTTAATTAAAAGTGAACAGGTTTGCAAAACAAGTACACATCGAAAGTCTCATGTAGAAGCCAACACGATTCATTTTGAGGTTGATGATCACAAATATTCCATTTTTGAGATGTTTATCAATTTATACTAGTTCATAAGATCGATATTATTCAAAATCTGGATGATAAATGTCCCTCTAATTGACATCAAATCAATTGATGTTTCCCCTATATTCCTCATTTGCCTTAAGTAATCTTCCTTGCTCATTTTTTTTTGGGGGGGAATTTATTTTAATGGAGTCGGCTTGACTACTTCATTTCAAAATGGGGAAAGATCAATATTTGGACTTGATTCTGCAGAGCATCTTGAGAAGAATATGCAAATGAATTCAACTCTTCTTTTGAGTTCATCTTCCACTTTCTCATGAAGCTTAAGAGCAATGTGTATCTGTAAGAGATGTGATTGATTCAAGCTTTATAATGTTAGTCATTGGTACTCCTATTTGTAATGTGATGCAGTCATGTACTCTGAGGTTTAAAGTTTGAAAAAAATATAACCTAACTCGTTTATTACCATGGATATATTGCTGGTTTGGTTTGAGACATATTTTTCTGATGTGGTTCATAAATTACGTGATTGTATTTTATCCCCCAGTAGGTTTAACCTAGTTATTTTTTCGGTTTCAGAAGAATTTAATAGGCATTCTCAAAGAAATATCAGGTTTTGAAAGTTGAAGTGTCTGGAAAAGTGATACAGCTATTAAACATTACTGGTTTTGAGAGAATTTTGCTCTCTTGAACTTTTTATGCAAAATTCTTCAACATAATAAAATTTTAATATTATTATTGTTAGCCTGCTGTGCCCAGGGTACTGCTATAATTCTGCAATGAGGTTGGCTACAGATTGATTAATCACTGACCTGGAAGCCTTGCAGCAATTTCTACATCCATATTGAAAGAATTCTGC